TTGACAACTGTCAAAGTCAGTACTGTACTGAGAGCTAGGAGCAGAAACAAACTTGGCCACATCAAATCGTGAGGAGAGAGTATTACTCTTGTACAGCACACAGATAGGTTTAGTGCTGGCGGTTCTAATAGCCAGACTTCCTGTCACATGGTGAACATTCTTTTGGATTTGTTTGTTTTTAATAATAAATGCTATGAAAACATTTTGAAATTAAAGCCTTACCAGTTTTCCACGGCAAGGAAAGTTTTCCGATCTGTATAGTTTAGACAAGGAGTGGAGCAAGAGATGACTCAGTCATCATCTGTAAATGACTCCATGGGGGATAAGAAAAAAATTTCCCGTATTAGACAGATCTCTAAGCTAGCTGAAAACAGAAAACATGAGGTTGAAGACAAACAAATCCAGACTAAGCATAAAGCCTTCCCTTTATAATGATGTTTATTGAGTACTAGGAAGGATTAAAATATATAGATCTTAGTTATTCAAGAGTTAGATTTCTTAAGTCTTAGTTTGTTTGTAAGAAATCCCATCATAGCTCAGACATAATTAATATGTTCATTCCTGATGTAACTGGGCAAGGTTTTTTACTGATCCGGTTACACAATCATATTTGGTTTCCTCAGCCTCAAAACATGTGATCTTATGATAAAGTATGTCTATTCATATCTCATTTGTATCAGTGTTACTTTGGCTTTAATGCAGTAACAAATCATCCTGTGTGCATAAATTAATGTGCTCCTACTTTCAAATTTCATACAAGCAACATGACTTCAATGCTTTATGAACACTGAAAGACTCAAATATTTTTGAATCATTTACCTGAAAAAGAGTCAGTTTTCAAACTTTTTCATAGCAACTGCTGGCAAATACAAGTTTTGCAGATGCAATCCCCCAAAAAGTAGAATAAAATAATAATACAAAATCAGAGCAAGGTTTTTAGACAAAGGCTGAGAAAAAAAGGTAGAATAAAATTGGTGAATTTGATTCAGTAAGCTTAGATCTAATCTCACTCAGGGTCACCTCTGTAGGGAACTATACTGGCATTACTCTGGTCTAATTATGCTGCTACAGTTATACAGTTC